GATTATGCAAGTATGATTAATTTATTTGCTTCTAAAAATGCAAGAAAAATGAGGATCAAGCGACACTTATTAATTGTTGTGATGTAATACTAAGTATTTTTTGTGATTTTGACACAAATTTTTTGTCTTTTATCTTCATATTTTTTTTCATTTTTTTTCATTCAATGAAAAAAAAAATATGAAGGGCCCAAAAAATTTATTAGTTGATTATTGGCTTTAGGCCCCGAAAATCTCAGGGCCGGACCTGCGTATGTAAGCAACGTTAGGATGTTGTCAGTATGTACAAACACGTCACGAGGTTGTTAGTATGTTGGTAGTATGTTTTAGTATGACTTTAAGCTGCCTTTGCCTTCCTCCACTACGAACGGTAGACGTATTAATGACTATCATAACTATGTCCACTACTGAGTTCCATGGAACCTGTGTATGTATGTTATTAATGTGCAATGGTTATATGCTGTCTAATTTAGCATCTTATCTCTCTGTTTGTTGTTATTAATGTGCAATGGCTTATGCGTTTGTATATAATAACCGAATTGTAATGGTAATCTTTTGTAACCGTACATTAGTAATGGCTTCTATACGTACTTCTCCGCGTACCCAATCCAAAAGCAAAGGCATTGTCACAGAGAAGTCAAGCAGTCTTGAAGAGATACATAATCAATTTAGCCACAAGGTCTCATGGGATAGTGACTCAATCCGAGTTTTCCTACGGTTGATTGCAAATGAGATTACAAAAGGAAAGCGACCATTCCTAGTCCTCAACCAAGCAGGGTACAAGTCCTTGGCAAGGAAATTTGAGAAAAAAACAGGAAGAAAACATGGCCTCAAGCAGTTGAAGAATAAATACATGAGTTTGAAAAAAGAGTGGCAAGCGTGGACACAGTTGATGGATTCAAGCAAAGGAGTGTCAGGGATAGGGTTTGACTGTGACACCGGTATGTTTCAGGCACCTGAGGAATGGTGGGACAAGATGGAATCGGTAAGTACATGTACAAACAAGTTTCATATTTGTCTGTTATCAGTACATTTTTAACCTTTTTAGTTAACTTTTAATTAATTATATGAAATGTAATGTCTTTTTCTTTCATATATCTCCCTTTTCTGCAGATAAACAAGGTGTGTGCCAAGTTTAGGAAAAAAACCTTGGAACATCGTGACTTGATGGAGACGGTCTTCATGAGGGCATCAGCTATTGGTAAGCACCATTGGACCCCGGGAGAGAAACTTCCTAAAGCTGCTGATGACTCATCTGATTCTAAGCATAGTTTGGGAGCCCAACCATTTGTTGATCCGATACCCGTAGGAGTACAGGACGTGGATTCAGATTCTTCACTGGAGCATGTTCCGATTGAAAAGGGGAAAAGGAGAAAGACGCCATCAACAAGTGTTTCAAAGTCGAAGAAGGCAACAAGTGGAACGTCAGTTATTGCGGAAAGCATGAACAATCTAACATATGTGGTGCGTACGACGAATCAGCAGGTTACGGTGAGGCACCTCACAGGCAACGAATCGCTGTACACTATTTCGGAGTGCATGCATCGCCTAACGAGTATTCCATCCCTGATTGGTACGCCGCTATTCCATTTCGCCTCGACACTTATGGATAACGCAGATTACCGGGAGGTGATGATGCGCCAGCCTGATGATGACCACATCATAGGGTGGCTTACACAAAAGTAGCTCTAGTGTACTGCGTCGGCGCCGTTTGCGAACCTGTTTGGGGCTCGCTGGATGTGATGTAGCGGTGTTAGGATTATTGAAGATGCCTGCCCTTCTCTTGCTTTTGAAAACTTTTACTTATGTTATTGTTGGCACTGTATTAAAATGGGATGGTTGTGTTTGCATGTTTTTATTCTTTTCTTGTTGTTTTTTTTTCTTGCTAGCTATGGTGAACAAAACTTTTAGTTAAGTTTGTCGTAGAAAAAATGGAAGCATGGTTGTGCGTTTTTGGGGAAAGGAATGGGATGCTTCTGTTTTAATTAAATTTATGGCAATGAAATGCGCAACGACAGTTTTCTTGCTAGCGTTTGTATGTCTTTACTTTGCGAGGGAAACTGTTATGTTAGTTTGACGTCATTTTTGTGGTTGTTACCACCATGGTCCCCCTGTAAAATATAACGACCAGGTTCACAATTTGTTCAATTCATATCATTATGCGTTAGTAATGACATTGGTGATGGCATTACGTACATTAAAAACCATGTGGCATTCATACGTGCAAACTGTTATTACATTTGAGTCAATGAATCACGTGCAAACTGATTGAAACAATAATGACGAATTAAGGGAAATGCTTAATCAAATGGCAGTACAGCTGCAACAAGAAAACAATTGGACATTTCTACAAACATGCCAGTATGCGACAGAGTGGTACAAAAAACACATGGCTAAAACGCCATGCCGCACTTTGATATTGACCGGGCATGCATGGATATGCGAACTATATGCGGGTCATATGGGTCGATTTTAGGAAAATGTTTGCATGCCGAAGGAAGTGTTTACCGCTTTGTGTGAGACATTAGTAAATGATTTTGGGTTACAAGTACCGCAACGGCCACATGGCTTAACTGTTGAAGAAAGCGTTGCAATGTTTATCCACGTGTTGCAAGGGATGCAAAATTAACAAATCCAAGAATGTTTCCAACATTCGAGGGAGATTGTGTCTCGGCACGTGCATAACGTATTAACTTCCATGAAGGAGTTCACTGTTGTTCATTGCCAGCCCACATACAGTCAGCATCGTATACATCCATACGTGCAGTCTAGACGGAAATACCTACCATTCAAAATAGTACTGAAAAATATTATTGACATATAAATAAAGAGTGTCAGTTATTTTGTTTTTATTATTAACTGGACGTGAGGTATGGAAAAAACCAAACAGTTGTTACCCGTTTAAGCAACAAAAAAATTGGGTTGTTTGCAGGACTGCATTGGCGCAATAGACGGAACACATGTAAGTACATGGGTTACGGGGCCAGATGCGGCAACATATTTCGGTAGGAAATACTGTCACACACAAAATATAATGGCCGCTGTCGATTTTGACATGTGTTTCATATTCATTTCGTGCGGATGGGAAAAAAGTATGCATGATAGTCGCATATTCAACGATATACTAACAAATGACAATGTCCCATTCTCACATCCTGACGAAGGTAACACATGGCGATGTTATTAGATTTAGGGGGCTATAAATTTTTTCTGAAACAGCGTTACTTGAAAATGAAGCTTGTATGTTCGGTTTTGGTGTCATACATTGTTGTCATGTTTGCAGGCAAATATCATCTTGTCGATTCTGGTTATCCAAACCGGATAGGTTACTTAGCACTATTCAAAGGCCACCGTTACCACCAACAAGAGTTCCGACGTATTGCACGGAACACGACGACAAACACGCCAAGGGAATTATTTAACAAAGTGCACTCGTCCTTACGCAGTGTGGTGGAACGCACTTTCGGTGCCTGGAAAAATTGATGGGGGGTTTATTCGAGACATGCCTCGGTATGACTTTGCAAATGTGCAAGTTTAGTCAGTAGGTGCGTTAATGGCATTACATAATTATATACGGCGCAACATAGGTAACCCAACAACTGTTCACCCAATCTGTGACGAGGAAGAGGCTATGACAATAGTAAATGCCATACCAGAAGTTGAACATGACGAGGATGGTTTAATGGTTAGGGATGAGGACCCGCATATGGCATTGGTGCGCCTTGACATACGCGACAAATTATGTTACATGCGTAATAACGGAATGTTAGGAAATATATAATAGTCGACCTAATTTCCGCCGGGTTGTAACATTACTATTGACACACGTGGAACAGACTGTATTGAAATATATTATCATGTACAATATGTATGTATTTACACAGGAATATACCCCCTTCTAGTTGGTGACATGCCTAACTTTGAAAAACCAAAATCCATAGAAAAAAGCCTTTTCGAAAAAGAAAACAAGGTGAAACAAATAACAAAAAAAAAAAAAAAACTAATACAGAAATTATCATGTGCGACGTCAATTAAAAACATAAAAACACAAGTTGAAAACAACAAAAAAACCAAAACAGACCCTCATTTTTTGTCATGTGCCACGGCAATATATGATCTTCCACATCATATATTGTAAATGACATAAAAAAACGTTTTTCCAAACAAAACAATCAACCGAAATTAGCATTTGCTACGTAATTTATAAATAAATAAAACACATGAAAACCCATTTGTCAAATATAAAACAAATTAATGTATACAAATTTTTAAAAAATTACAGAAACGTAAATTTAAGCAAGAAGAACGACAAACATAGGCCTCATCCAAAAAAAAAGGAAAAAAAATAGAAAAAGACAGAAATTAGCATTTGTCACGTCATTTACAAATAAATAAAATGAGAGAAAATCCATTTTTGAAATATAAAAACAAATTAATGTGAGTAAATAAAAAAATGAAAAAATCGTAAATTAAAAAAAAATAACGACAAAAATACGCATCATTCAAAAACATTTAAAAAAAAACATGAAAACATAAATTACCATTTGCCACGTAATTTACAAATAAATGAAACACATAAATAAAAAAAAAAAGTTATTGTATACCAATAAAAATAAAGAACGAGAACTAATTAATGTTAAAAAAAAAGAAGACAAAAACATAAATTTAAAAAAAAAAAAAAGCAAAATACGCCAAATCCAAACCCAAAATCAAAAAAATAAAAGAAAAAAAAAATGTAAGCAAAATACGCCAAATCCAAACCCAAAATAAAAAAATTAAAAGAAAAAAAATGTAAGCAAAATACGCCAAATCCAAACCCAAAATAAAAAAATTAAAAAAAAAAAAACAAAATTTAAGCAAAATACACCAAATCCAAACCCAACATAAAAAAAAAAAAAATATTTAAGCAAAACATGCCAAACCCAAAATAAAAAAAATTAAAAAAAAATTAAGCAAAATACGCCACACCCAAACCCAAAATAAAATAAAAAAAAAATTTAAGCAAAATATGCCAAATCTAAACCCAAAATAAAAAAAAAGCCAAAAAGGGCAGTTTGGTAATTTGACAGGAAGACACCTCACAAAAAAATCAAAAAAGTTAAAAAGCCCTCCTCAAATCAGGTTTTTTAGCCCTATGCTAAAATAGTAAAAAAAGTCAAAAAGTCAAAAAATCAACCCATTTTCCAAACGGAGGCTTAATATAATTGGGGACTTAGTAAATTTTTTGGATAAACTAGAGAGGCTCTCTAAATTTATCTATTTTTATTCAAAAAAAAAATAAATCAAGAATCAAAGCAAAAAATGTGCAATGCTTCAGGAATAACATGTAATTTTTTTTTTTGGTGAATAATAATTTATTCTTTTTCATTTATAAAGGTTCAGATAGCTACGTCAGCGTGACTTGTTTTTTTGCCAATGGCATTTTTCTATAAGTTCATTTTTTAAAGTTAGGGCAAGGCTATGTTACACCTTTTTGAGAATCGGAAGGTGGAATTGGGATAATTACATGAATGTTAGGCCTGGTTTGTTTTTAGAATTGGAAGGTAGCATGGGGATTAGTAGTGAGATGTGATTTAAAAATTTATGTTTATTTTGAAAAGTGGCCATGGAATTAAAAGTTTCATGAGACTATAAAAGGCCTTTAAGAATTAGACTAGCAATCTTATCGAAGAAGTGATATTGATATTTAATCCCATGAGATTAGAGGTAAAAATATTATTTTGTCCTTCATTTTATAAAGTTAATTTAATATAAAAATAATTTCTAATATTAAAATGAAATAATATCATAATATATTTATACCAAAATAAAATATATCAACATAAAATAATAAAGTACCAAAATATAATTTTGAATGTTAAAATATATCAAAAATACCAAAGGGTATTTATGGCATTTCATATAGTTAATTCCCTTACTAAAATATATCACAAACAAATATAATTTTTCGTAAACTCCTCACTAACAATCGTCATACTAATAATCTCACCCAACTTAACTCTGAAAGCAAACAGATCCTTAGAATTTTTTTTTAAAAAAAATTAAATAACTCCATACTTTCTAAGTCACAACGATATTAAAAAAAAAAAATCATAACCAAATATCACATAAGGCATAGTCAGGGATTTCATGAATTAACTAGAAAAGAAAATGATATAATTAGAGGTATATTTAATACACTCATTTCACGGAGTGTGTATACTAGAATTTTTCTAAAAGTTAAAATTCCTTCTTAATTAATTTTCTTTTTAGATAATTAATTTAGTGTGAATAAATTATAAGATTAGTGTATGATTTATAGAAAGTTATAGTAAAATATTTTTTTCATATTTTCTCTCTTATATTATGAAAAAATCACTGTAAAAATTTTGATATGAAACCTCGTTGTAGATATGAGTAGTTATACAAAAGATTAAATCATGTCTCTATGGAGACATATAATTATGTTATGGATAATTTACTTGTATCTCTTTGTCGAAACTATACCTCGCTTTGTGAGAGAGTGTATTACCATATCACCACGTAATCTGAGTTGTATATCAGCATGTATTATTCAAATATGTTCAAGATAACCTCCACGCTATATAAGATGTGCCTAATGCAAGAAGATGTTCATGCGCTTTAGATTGATAAAGCTCTAGATATGATGATAAATACTCACTCATATGCATATAGATGGTATTTAT